GTGTCTGAGTCCCTCCTTGCCCCCCCCCCCAACCCCACGGTGAGTCCTGGGGGACCCGGAGAACTGCCCCCCCCTACACGGGGGGCTCGCTGCAGAGGACGATCTCCAGTTCCTTGCGGTAGAGCTTGCCCCCGTCGGAGAGGTTCATGATGCTCTTCCTGTAGTTGGTGAGCTGCTGGATGTTCATCTCCTGCAAGGAACGGGATGGGTGGGTGTGCCCGGATACCCCTTTTCTCCCCTTGGGGGGCACCCCACCCGGGGCTGGGACATCACCCCACAACTTCCCCATGGGGATACCACAGGGTTGGCATCTTGACCGGCATCTCGACCAGCATCTCTCCTGGTCCTCATGGAGCAAGGATGCAGCGGGTGGAGATGTTGCTGGGAGAGGGGAGGACGCAGGGGGGGAGTGGATCCCCCGTTTCTCCCTGGGGGGCACCCCCAAGCTGGTACCTTCCCCCCTCAGCTCCCCAATGGGGACACAGTTGGCACCTGGACCAGCGTGTCCCCTGGACCCATTCCTGCAAGGAACGGGATGGGTGGGTGTGCCCGGATACCCCTTTTCTCCCCTTGGGGGGCACCCCACCCGGGGCTGGGACATCACCCCACAACTTCCCCATGGGGATACCACAGGGTTGGCATCTTGACCGGCATCTCGACCAGCATCTCTCCTGCTCCTCATGGAGCAAGGATGCAGCGGGTGGAGATGTTGCTGGGAGAGGGGAGGACGCAGGGGGGGAGTCCAGGAGGTTCTGGGAGGGGCTGGATACCCCGTTTCTCCCTGGGGGGCACCCCCAAGCTGGTACCTTCCCCCCTCAGCTCCCCCATGGGGACACAGTTGGCACCTGGACCAGCGTGTCCCCTGGACCCATGGAGCAGGGAGTGGAAGACGCTGCTGGGAGAAAGGAGGAAGCATGGGGGGGTCCAGGGGGGCTGGGTACCCCATTTCCCCTTGGGGGGCACCCCCAGACTGGGACATCCCCACACACAACTCCCCCATGGGGACACAGGGTTGGCATCTGGACCAGCATCTCTCCCAGTCCTCATGGAGCAGGGATGCAGGGGGTGGAAGATGCTGTTGG